TTTTTTTCTTCTTCTTCCACCTTTTCTTATCTTCTTTTCCTATAACAGAAATAGGGGTTCAACCCCTATGTTTTTCTAATTTTCTTTTCTTTCTTCTTTTTCTTCTCATGAATATGTTGGAACATGTTGATTTTCTATACTTTAACATGAAGTTTATACTTATGGAAATTATGGATATTTATTAAGGACATATGATTATGGAACCTAGGGAACTACCCTAGGATACATGTTTTTACTTAAAAGAAATCCATCGCCTAGGCAACTAGGTGACTAGGCACCCCCCTGTCGCCTAGCCTTGCCTTGGCGCCTTGAAAACTATGCTGGTGGTGGAGGGACAAAAATTGATTTGGCAAAATCCTATGGTTATGTTGAATTTGAACTTTATGGTGTTATTAACCAAAGGTGACAAAGTTCCTTGTAGGGTCTGAGTTGGATTATCAATTGTATTCTTCAGCTTTCAGAAATGGCCTCCTATTTCCATCATAAAAGCCTCTGACATTGTAGGGTCAAGATAATAAATCTGGCATTCCTTTTAGGCATTAGAATTCTCACTAGGTGAAAAAGAACTCTAGATTCCTATATCAAGTTTATGACAATATGACAATAAATTTAGAGCATTTGGGTTTCAACTGCATTCTTTTATTTGTTTACTGTGTAACTTTGGTTTTGTACATGTGCCTAGCCAATGGACAAATTTCCAACTTTTAATTATATTTGTTGCAGTAAACTATAAGAATAATAATAGGAGAATGCAAAACAACAAAGATAAAGTGGAAAAAGTAGTTTATGTGATTAGAACATGTTTCAAGGGGAAACCATAAGGGAACACAAAATACATACACAGGCATCCTAGCCCGAAAATTCCTCCAAGTATGATGAGACCTTGATTTTGCTAATAGGTATTGGCCTTCAAGTACTATATTAATATCTATACTTAGAGATATAGTGACTAATTTTGTCTCTCAGAAATTTGGTGCCTCTACAGCTGCTTTGTAGTATATGGCTGTTCCAACACCATGGCAGGCACTAGATGTCTTAACCAGGTATAGTAGTCACAGCTCACAGGTCACAACCAATAAACTAAAATATATAGTTGGAGTCCTTTTCTTCCCCTATGTGGAGACCAATGTAAGCCCTGTATAGACAGAATAAAGATGAAAACTAATTCTTTAACAGAAGGCATTTRCCTTCAATAAACTAGAAAAAGTTTAAAGGAGACAGATGACAATGATGATCTATGACAAGGCCTTTTTATGATCTAACCATCAAAATTTGAATTTTGATCTTTCTGATGTTATGGACATTACCCAATGCTGGTCCTTGCTGTCCAGGGTCTTGGGAGGGGCAGTATAGAAGGCATTTGCCTTAAATAAACTAGAAAAAGTTTAGAGGAGACAGATGACAATGATGATCTATGACAAGGCCTTTTTATGATCTAACCATCAAAATTTGAATTTTGATATTTTTCTGATGCTATGGACATTACCCAATGCTGGTCTTGGGAGGGGCAGTATGGATACGGACCTACGCTTCGAAGTCATTTTTTCACAAAGTGGCTGTTGTCAGAYTCAAACCCACATTCTCACGTTTGTCGCCCAAGATTTTACCACTGCATTAGGCAATGCCCCCTTTTTGATCTTTCTGATGTTCTTTGTATATAATTCCTTTGCTTTTTTATCAGTATTATGCTGTTGTGTATCAAATGATCAAATGTATATTTTACTTAAAAATTC